GGCCAATCGCGATTACGACTATACACTGTTTAGGGGCGGAGTTAGGGGTTGTGTTACGTATAGAAACTTTGTTGCCGCTCTTGGGGGTAATAGACGGGGGATGTGGGTACTCAAACTCGCTCATCCATGATCTTGCATAATTCATCAAATTAGCCATTTGAGGGTTTCTTAGCCTTTGTTATCTATGTATAGAGACGTGGTTGGGGGATATTTCGCTTAGCGCATGCGCACTTTACACCAAGCTTGAATTTCGACGAGTGTGTTTCGGTCGCTCTGTGATTTAAACTTCTCACATCGACTGGAATTTTTTTCAATTCTCGAGGTATTGATCTGATGTGATAGGCATGCGCGTATTTTTCTTTTTATAGACTTTGTATTGATAACTTTCTTACAATGACTGAGCTGGTGCCTCCTTTGTTTTTTATAGAAATTACATGTTGGTTGAAAGTGCGTCTAGGGGAATTTAACAATAGGATATTACGATACAAGTACGTTACGTTGAAAATCGCACTTTCCACACGTCGTATGAAAAAATACGGTACGGCACATGTTCGGGAAAGAGTTTCTCGTTTCGTGTACCTTTCCACCCTCGTTTCGTTCGGGCGTGAACGCCACACGAGACAAGAATCTACTTTCCCGCACTTGTATCGTAATGTACTATTTCAATGCTAGTATTCAAAATACGTTTGGACATAGATTTCAATTACGAATCAATTCCATTTCAAGATTTCGATGATTTAAATTGATTTGAAAATCCGAAATTTTACACTAACTAAATTTTGTTTTAATTTTGATTGTATAATTTTTTATCTATCTGCGATTTTTCATATATTTTTGATAATCTTACTAGAGGTAACTTTTGTAAAAGGATAACATTTTCCAGCCGTAATACAAGGTGGTTCTTCAATATGTAGAATAATGAATGTCAATGCCTTTTTATTGCAATTAATGAAAGATTGTACGGTTCACACTCGTATGTGGAAAACCTTATATCTGATAAGAGAAACAGTTCATAAAATTTTTTTAAATTCGTATATAGAGTAAATAATGTTAAGTGATACGTATCTATTCTCATATTAATTTTATTAATATAAATCATTGAAAATCATGTTTTTTTCCATAAATTAAACATGATCAAAGTTATTTTCGAACTGTGTACTATATTTAAAATCGTTTTCTCTTACCTGGATAATACGTTTTCGGTCAACATATTACTGAACGTTAAATAAATGTTTTATGAAAAGATAAAAAACTCACCACTTGAACATACGCATTAAAATAACTGTAAACATGTTTTACAGTCAAAGAGATTACTAATGATTTTTAATTATTTGCAGTAAAAACCATATTGCAAATATCTCCAATAGTTTCGGTGAAGCTTGAAATATACATTATTTCGGGATACTTAATTTTTCAACATGATTTATTTGAAAAAAAATTTAATGGTACATTTGTAATCTATGTGTATTACTTTAAAAAAGAACATAAAAAATGAAGCTATTATTAATTGATTCGTTTCTGAATTACTTCAAAATATATTCCTAGATGCTTGAAATTATTACTAGGGTAATGGATGGACTGAACCAAATTACCCCCAATATGACAGAGTATATATGACGTTGAAAATCGAGAATATCGACTCATGTTTTTTTCCATAGTTAATTCATTGAATTACAACTTAGAAAAGAGTCGGTTTGGTTTGTCCAAAATTTCAGATGAACACGTATTTGCTACAACAAATCTTGAAAAATGAAACCACCTTTATAAAATGAGTATGATAGTGAGTTATATACTAGAGTTATTGATTAAACTTTTTTTAAATAAAGATCGTTAACCGCAATCACGTAGTATTTTAAACCTAATGAAAGTATTTACTAATGGATAAGAAACTGTTCCTACAATACCAGTAGCTAACTAAAATATCCAAGTTAATGTGTGTGTGCGCGTGCATGTGCGTGCGTGCGTGCGTGCGTGCGTGCGTGCGTGCGTGCGTGTGTATTGAAAACAGTGATTTATTACTAAATAAATGCTAAGAAACATAAATTACTACATAAATTCAAAGAAAAGTTTAAATGAGTTTACTTTGTGATAGTATTTTACAATACTACCAAGTTTTAATTTCGTTGGAAAGACAACAGACAAAATAAATCCGTAAAAAATAAATTTATTTTAATTTACACGTAGTTTATCATTACTACGTAATAAGAATATACGATTTTTGATTATAAACAATCGAGACAACTGTAAAGTAAAATTTAAAAAAATATGTGTCTTTAATGAACTGCTATTTTCGACCACCAATCTACCACTAACAATAACGCATTTATAATACTTTTTTTTAATTCGATAAATTTTCAATAACACTATTCGTATCTCTATAGATTATAAATAAATCAACTATTTGTGGTGCTGCGGTAAAGCAAAACAACATACAGGCCCGTATAAAATCTAACAGGTTGATAACGAGTCAAATTTATTTTTGAAGTCGGACCAACAAATAGCAAATTTAAGCAAATACTAGTTTCAATTTATTATAGAGTTACAATCTTCTGCCAAATAAATATGTGATATGTAAATGTATCTAACTTTTCAGAGTAGTAATACACTATATGTCATAGAATATTGAGTCTAGTTTTTATGATTCTTTATTTAATACTAGTGTATATCCCTAAGACATAAATGTGATACTTGAGAATCATCTACGTAGGTCTCGTAAGATGCAATTGACTCGTTCATTTTTATGCAAAAGATTCAAGTTTTTCATGACTATTCTTACCATACGTATCTTCAAAGTACAACTATTATGGTACGGGGCAGGGGATGAAAGGGTGTCCAGTTGATCAATAGTCAGTCAGTAATGCATTTCGGTGTATAGCTTAGTGCATAATAACATGAGCATAGAATTGTCTTCATTCCAACCCATCAACAATTGTATATTTCAATCAATTGCTTTGATCATTTGAAAAGTTATTTAAATAACATTCAACAATAAAAATTTTAATGGCGAGACAGTATTTTGATAAATTAATATCATTTACAGAAATATACAAAAGTCTTTAAAGTAACTTATAAAAAGCGACTGAAGATAAAATTATATCTTAGTAACGAGTCGTTGATGGAAGATCAAGTAAAATTGGAAAATATGGTTGACTTAAATTACTATTAACAAAACATCTAAATGGACTATTAACAAGGTAAACTTTTTTTCTATTTTTTAATATAATTATTTATTTCTTCAAATTTAATTAGTTGAATTAAAATTCGATTCACTTTATCTTGCATATATGCTGGTTTTTATTAATTCAAATACTGATTTGAGTTAGTAGCCTTTTTTCTGTTTTTAATAAACGATTTGATAGTTATTTTAAATAGAGATTAAATTTTATAAAGTTTATGATAGAAATGACTTTTTTTGAAATTGAACTTTTAAACTATTCATAAAATAAGAAACATAATTTATTCGGATATTTTATACTAATATAAATATTCTATTTATTTTCGGCGTATGTAACCGTTGGAGAATTGTAAAATCCTGTGACAAGTCACTGTTCCAATATTTTGACGAACATCGATACTATATCAGAAGGAACGAGACAGGTTGTCAAAGGTATAGTATCAATATTGAAGAACATTTTAGTATAATTATGTGATTGCAATTGTTATTTTTCAATAACTATACATATGTGTACATAAAATAGCACAAATAAATAAATATTTTTGTAAATAAACCATAGTTTTATTTAATAAATAACTTTTAATCTACCCTATTATTCAAATTTTCATCTCGTTTCATTCATCACTCAAGGAACGATTCTAAATTTGACGAAATTCCTTATGTCATATTTGAAATTCAAGTCTTTATCAACTTTAACGCGATTCTAGTTTCACTTTTTGACATGTTTTAGTATTCGCTACAATTATTATGCTTTAAATCAAATTTTTTTAAAACAGCTTTTATTTTGAAAATTCCTATTAATTTTTGTTTCCACGACTATTTATAAGCTATTTTATTTTTTCATAATTTTGTCTTTTTATGAAGCATGTATCGACATTACTGAACAGAATGTGAATGATTCGCTATATATTGCCTTAAATGTATAACTATTTAAAAACTTCTGGCCAATCAGTTTTACAGCTGAGTAGAATCCAAATTATTAACTATATATTGCATCAAATATATCATCAACTTCGTAAAAACTACTGGCCAACATATTTTACAATTTTCGAGCAAGGTAAGTTGTTGTTGTTGTTGTTATTATTATTATTATTATTATTATTATTATTTAAACTGTTGTCTGTGTAAAGAAGAAAAAGAATCCCATTATTCATAATAGGCTTAATCAAATGCAATTTAATTTAATAAACTCTAATTAATAAAATAATGTTTCATAAAAGATATTCAAATGGCAATGCTTAAAAAAGTAAATAATTTGATTCTACGTGATTAATTCACACTACAGATATTTCACACCACGAGAAATTAGTATTTTTTAAATTAAGCAACCTGTTGCTTCTACAGTCATGGGGGTACTCAGTACGGTTCTTGTGCAGAGTAAATTATAAGGCTTGAAAATAGCTTACATTAACGCAATGTAGAGACATGATGATTGGCAACATAAATTTGTTAATACGTAACAATGCCAAAAGATAATATCTAGTTAACTCGATAATTTTGAAATATGGTTTATTAAAGCCATCGATAACGTTTGTACAGTTACTTCAATGTCGAATGATCAAATATCGAAGTTAATCTAAGACTTCTTTATTGGTTGCTTTGTTACTTTGTATGTCATGTTCTTGAAATTGATAAAAACTGTAAAATATAACAGGTAATTCAATGATATAAATATTTTGATTGAAAATGCCTATAACGAGCTTGTCGTTATAAAGCACTTTTGCAATGATAATGAAACGTAATTTTCCTTGGAATAAAAAATTCAACACACAAGTCATATGTCTGACTAAAGTAGCATTTTGTTATTTTAATTTGTAGTGTTTTTTTTATGAGTTAATACATTCAAACGCTTAGTAAGTTTTTAATGCTATTTTATATGATATTTAAATTTAAAAATATTCAATAGTTTTCCTATAAATTATTTTTGATGCATACATCGTCTAGAAAACTTAACTTGATGGTTTGACATGCTACAACAATATACCTTAATTACAACGTTCGTTGAGTAGCCAATTCGAAATCTATCATTGAATCACTATATCATTGAATGTGTAGTATGCTACGATATTCAAGAAAAATATCTCATTATTATTATTCACAGCGATAATTTAATAAACCTTAAATTTTTATGTTAACGTACGTTCTTCATTGAATTTTTATAAATATATATTTTTGGGCTTCTAATAAGGTGAATCCCATGGCGTTATTTGTAGTGCATACAAAGAGAATTATTGCATTAAATCTATAAAACCGTTAATAGTTGAAAGTATTTATTACTAAATCTTATATTTCGAAAGTAGATAAGATTAAGTCACAGCCTCGCAAATCAGGTAACAAGATTTCTTTCTTTTACTGCTAACAACATCGATAGATATCCTAGTGACGTTTTGCCAACCTTATAATAAAAATATAGTAATATTTATGGCATAAATTGTTTACTTTTGCATAGAAAGATCGCAACTTTATAAGTTACTTACAACAGCGAAGAGTCGAAGCGATAATGAACAAAATTTTCCAGCTGTTATTTCTAGCGGATACTGTGCTCTGTTAGCAATGAACATCAAATCATAAACTTCTTTTGGCTTCAAGTTATACCAGCTACTATTGTATGCTGCATGCGACAATTCCAAGCTCTTGGAAAGATGTATGTTCAATTTTTAATTGGTGTTTTTGAAACTCTGGTACTTAAAAAGAATTTGCATACCTTTGTTCGTAACTTTTCTGCCACGTAACAATAGATGTACAAATCCAACGACATGTATAAGATGAAAAATGTCATGAAAATGAGTTGAAGTATAGGAAGGTTCATAGTTGAGTCCATTAGGATCTAAATAAAAATTTATTACTAGAATATAGGTATACTTTTATGCCTTGAGAATTATACTCACGTTGACGAGTTGATAGCCTTGTAGACAAAATTGAATGGCACATGCCATGATTTGCGCAAGAAACATCAGATTGAAAGTGTTCTCAATGATGCTTGCAAAACTACGAAGGCAGTTGTGTAAAATAAAATAGAAAACTTACAGAAAAACAATATTCTACATCTATGATAAGGGCGCGCTTTAAGTCAAACTAAGAATGGCAATTGTAAAACGCACTTGTTAAGCTGGTTGTGCCTTACGACGATTCGTTTGATACGAGCAGCAAAAGCCTCATCACTTCTTTCAGCTAGTTTAATCAATTGATCTTTCAACACGGTAAGTTGTCCACAGAGATGAAGCACAAGTACAGCAAAGAAACCATCGATTCCCGCGTAAGCAGTTGTCGCCGATATCGTAGTCAGAGCTTGCATGCACCAAGTGATTTCGAACCAAGGCGAATCGGAGACGTTCACGAGGAAATGCGATTCAAAAAGCATTGGTCTGATCCCAGTTCTCATTTGTTTCTCACGCAATAAGAATAGTCTGACGAGAAAAAATACATTGGACGTAAAGTATGCTATACCCACGCAGGCTATAGCTATCCAACGACCCATAAGCGCACTTTCACGCGTCGCTGCCGCATGCTCGGATAAATTGGCAGAATGCCAGTCCTCGATGATGTTTTTTAAAAGCGATTTCGCCACTGTGATGTACATTTTTGTCATGTAAAAAGTATATCGTCTGAAAATTTTAAGTAAAATTTGCTCTTTACGCACCTTCCGAATAATAACGCAAAACAGTCATCTTGACGAGTGCAACTATGACAGGAATGTCAGCAGTGCACAGAATGTCGACAATGCTGTCGAGATCATTACCAACCAAAAATAATTTCCACGTTTGTGAGATCACGACAAACCAAATTATCATTATTAACGAAAGGACAAACATAATGTACGATACGATGCTGAATGACAGTGATTCATTCAAGTTAGGCCAGACGCCGATGATACTCAAACACAATCGGCTAGGATAAATTGAATATTCTAATTCTGACAGCCGTAATTTCATTTTTGTATTCTGTTAACACTACTACTTTCTTAAGTTCATTTTATGGTTTAAAATAACTGAATTTTATCCCTGAACATCGAATATCGCTTAATACTGGAAGTGCTTCGCTCTGCGAGACTTACTCATCGCCTAATAATTCACAAGAAGTGCATCATCGATAATTCTCCTTTGTTGCAAAGCAAAACTTTTGCACGACAGGTGTGCATGCGGTACGCTATACGACGCATGCTCGTATCTCGATCAACTTTAATGATTGAACTTGCGAAAAAATGAGCCTAATGGAGGGGGATCACGACAGTAAGTATATGACCATGCATAGAGAAAGCAAAACTATATGAACGCGGTAGACATAGTTGTGATGTCGGGAGAAAAACAAGTTACAAGTGAACGGGCAAAATATAGTTACTGTATAAGTCAAATAATTATTATTTGGTGACGAAATCATGTAAGAAAATTTATAATTAAATTTGCTAAGGCAATAATAGATCTACTGATAGTTATGAAGAATTATCGAAGGTATTATTTACAAGGTAAAATTTCAAAACTGAAATGAATGATATGCTCAATAATATAAACTGACGGCAATTACATTTTTTCCTCCATAAATTCACTACTTCTTTCAACGATAGTCTGCCTGCCTCTAACCGATCACCTACTGTAAGTGATATTGACTTTTTCAAGTTTTAATGTATATTTATAGAAAGTCTTTTTGTTCAACTAAATACAAGAGCAATTATTTGTAGGCTACGGTTTTTTTTTAATATTTCTTTTTAACTGTTGGCTTCATTTTTCATCGTTATCAATACAGACATAACTGGCGGACGTTTTCATCGACTAAAAAATGGGAACATGGAAAAAATACATATGAAATCATTTTTATCATGTGTTTCAATAATACCATTTATTCTTACCAAACTAAAAGTATCCAATGAAAAAATAAAAAACTTTCTAGCAGTTATTTCGAAGGGTCTTTTCGACCGCAGCAATATATTGAGTAATAACTGCGATTCTTTTGTTTTCATATTATACCAGGCACTCTCATACATAGCTAATTCCACTGCTAAACTCTAAATGAAAAAAATCATTAAAAAATCATTCTATGTTTATTATAAGTCCAATAGTGATCAATGATTTTTTCAATTCAAGTGTTACGTGCACGTGCAAAAATTATTATGCATAGAATATTTTACCTCTGTGCGCAACTGTTTAGCTACGTAACAGCATATGAATAAGTTACTTGACAAGTATGTGAAACCAACGACAAATAGCGCTTCTGTTAAAGTACCGTCGGTATGCTTTATCATCTATAAATATATTAAAATTTATTTTGAAAAATATGTGCATTTATAATGACAGCTCGAAATCCAAGTAAACAGAATATGACAGTGAAATTTATAAGTTGCACCAAATTAACGGAATTGAAGATGTCTTCGATATCATAACCAACATTGAAAGACTAAAATCATTTAAAATTTAATTTTCATTATTTTTTGTGTGTGATTTTTTCCACAAAAATCTTTCAATTCTCAGTTAAATAAAAATGTTAAAATGTTTAGTATCGAAAACTAACATACCTGTACAATTTATTATGTATTTTGACAATCGCAGAAGAACGTACTTATACATTGGAATAGCCAGATGTGCTCGCAATTCGGTGATTTTCGACTATTGTAAGTATATAAGCATTTAAATACAAAAGTCGAAAGTCAAAATTCAATGTGAATTGCAGGTAAATGTGTAGCACAAGATAAAATAGGCAAGCACCCTGTCCAAGGCTTACACAAACCGTCGCCAATGACCTCGCTGCCGTGGTACTTGCTATCAATTCTAACTCTTTCGTGCTCTTTTCACGCAACCAGTCACTATGTACCATGTCGATTAGATCTCGTAATACTTAATCGTTTGAAAGTTTTATTAGAGATTCGTTTAAATTTATAATCGATAAATACATAATTAATAAAAACATCGAGACGTAATTGGTAATAAAAATAATATATTTTACAACTATTCCTGTGATGAAGAAGCTGAGGAGTGATAAAATTATCTATACACGATTCATAGCGTAGAATGAATGATTCACAGGAATTCATACAAGCTTACCTTGTCTTTTGAACCAGAACTTAATCATAATAAACGAAACATTTAGAATAGGCAAATTAGCCGTGGACAAAATATTCGTCGTAACGTCGATGTCACCCCAATAGTGTATTATTTGTATAGTTTACATGAAATTTACGAAAAATATCAAAATAAACAAATTGGCCAAGTAATGAAATTCTATAAGTGCCCTTGCAATAGAGGATTGATACAATTCTGGCCACGCCCCGATGCTACGAAGACAAATACTGCATAGCTTGAAGACATAATTGAAGGCTGACGATTCGAGAAAAAACAATCTTATCGATTAAAGCTGTGGAAATGTCAAGCGAAAAATTTTAATGAAATGTACCTTCTTGCTCGTCCATAGATGTTTACAACACTAACTAAGCGTTGAAATTTAGCTGAAGCCAAACGAAGTATTTCGAACGTACGCGCATGCTCACACTTTGTACTAAAAGTCGCTAAGCAAGTATGTAATGCCAGCAGTTTGCATCAGTGCGTCCAAGGTGACCACAAATCACTTGTGCTTTATGCCAAAACCAAACGAGAATAATATAAAGTTTTGCTTGGAAATTATTATTAAGAGAGTCGTTGTGGGATAGTGAATGTTTTATTCATATATATAATATATAAGCATGAAAATATTAGAGATTGCGTGGGTGTAGCAATTGGTATTCGTAAGTAATTTATGAATAGTCGTGTAGAAAAATGGAAATAAATATGTGGGAAAAACTGAATGCTTAATACACTAAAAATACTCCGTAAAGTCATTCTAATATTATACTTTTAATTCATAATGAATATCTTGTTCATACAATATTTTAATAAATGAAAATTCACTAAGTAGAATTGTTAACAGTTTTTCTTTAATTTATAAAAATGCTACTTGATTCACATAACGATTTCAACATATATTTATAAAAAATAGTCGACGCGTTGATAAAATAAGTAGAAAATGTAAATGTTGTTCATGTATCTGAAGATATATTGATTTACACGACTATTCGATCTCTAACAGCTAATAACATTGATAAATATCCAGCTGAAGTTTTGAAAATCTACAAATTATATTCTTATTATAATCCACATTTTAAAAGAAAATATATTTTAAAAAATTAATACGAGCATATACATACTTTAGCATACAAACTCATAGAAAATGAGCAAAATTTTCCTGCCGTTACTTTTAATGGCTTTTTAGCTCGCTGCATTATGATGAGTAATAATGCGGCTTGCTTAGGCTGCAGTTCGTACCATTTGCAGTTGTAAACTGCTCGAAAAATTGACGAACTCTAAAAAAATTCATAAGCAGTATTTGAATAAGCATACAGATTTTGTAAGTAAAATCTATGACGAGAAGAAATTTATATTTTTCAAATGTGTCGTTACCTCATCTTTAAGTTTTTCAGCAACATAGCAGCAAATAAATAAATGTGTTCCAATGTGCATCACGTAAACTGCCATGAAAAGAAGGTGGAGTACTGGAAATCCCATGTCTTTACTGGAACTCAACTGAAAATTAATATTCCAATTATGCTGGAAAATTAATGATTTCTTAAAAATGTAATATAAAAGACTCACGGTCACTACAAGAAAGCCTTGCATACAAAATTGTATTGTGCATCCGAGAATTTCGGCAAGAAACATTGGGTTGAATATATTTTCTATTGTTGCAGCAAATCTCAGTGTAGACAAAATTTTTTAAGTCGTTAATAACATGAAAAGAGCAAGAAATAAGCTATAGAGCATTCACGATGTAACATAAAAAACAAAACAATCAAAACTCACTTATTAAGCTGCTCATGCCGCAGTACAATCTTAGCAAGATTCATCTCAAAATTGCGATTAGATACACTCACTAGCTTATCCAGCTGTTCCCTCAAATTAGCAAATTGCCCACACAAGTGTAGCACCAGAGCAACAAACAGACAATAGATTCCAGAATAAGCAAATGTAGCGAGAGCAGCACCAGAGTACTGCATTATCCACGTAACTTCATAAACTGGAGTTGGCTTATAGTCGTAAGGAAAGTATGAGTCAACGAGGAGCAGCCGTGTACTTGGTTTTCCTGGTAGATATTCTAACTCCTGTCCAATTCTAATTAACAAATGTCCATGAACTGTAGCGAATCCTAAGATGGCACAAATCCACGACATCCTGCGTGCTATTATTGCGTTTGCTTGCATATTCTTCAGGCCATCTTTGGAATTCACACTGTTCCAGTCTGACGTGACGAATTCTAGTAATGGCTCGAATGCTTTGTTTGACAGAATAAGAAATTTTGATTAACAGCAGTGAGGTATTGTAGATATAATCAACTTAATTTTGTTCATGATTTTCTATTTTAGAGTAAGGCACTTGTGTAAAAATAACCGAAGCATTGGTTACAATTTGCAAATTTTTGGTGCAGCACGTGATTTAATCCTTGCGATAAAAAATACGATTTAAAAAAACTGCAAAGACATTTATAATAGAAATATAATTCATGACATTATTAGATATATTTACGAAGAAGTTTTAGTGCATTCGATAAAATAAAAAGATTGTTTGATTACATTAAAGGAAACAATTTTTACAATTAGACGCTTTATCTACATAAGAAGATATTGGACGTCGGATATGGGCTGTCAAACGTATACCATGATTAGAGAAGATAATTATATTATTTATTATCATATAAATATAGTAGATAATGAAGCAGATCTATGTTTTATCACTGCTCGCATTCTGTGCAATCACAGAAACGCCCAAATTTTTAACAACAAATTTTTGTATCTCGATAATGTTGATACAAGTCCGATGTCTGTTATCCCACGTTTAATATTTCATTACATAGAAACACACTCACAAGTAATAAATTTCAGTATATGAACTATAGAAATAATTATTGGCATTTCAAAAATACGATAAATACCTTTTCTATGTTTAAAAAATATCAACATCTTGAAGACAGCAATTAGGATTGGTAAGTTTGCCGTTGAAATTATATCCGTCATTAAGTCCAAATTACCCCAAATCATTATTAATTTTATCGTTTGTGAAATATTTATAAATACCACAATAACTGACGTTATTAAAGTAAAGCGAATCAACGTGCAGATTTTTTCTAGTTTTGATGTTTTTAGTTGAGGCCATAGTCCTATTAATTTAAGACTTATTCCGCACATATGAAAAGCTGTATCAAAACCTACAAGTACTGATTGTACAAATTGGCAACATTTTTGGCTCAGAACGTTAATGAATTTGAATTGCAAAAGAAAAGGTGCAAATCTGTTATATATGAAAAAGGTCATAAATTCGTTACCTGCTTTGTTACGCATTAGATCTGACTAGAACGAGAGATCTTTGACTGCAAGCGAAGGGCTCTCTTTGTTATAGTTCAACTGTGCGCATGAGTGCGCAATTGTTTCGCGAAAATATAGATGAAATGAAATGTTTTTTCCTCAGTCGATGTTTCGTCTCAGCTTCGATTACACAAGATAATCACTTTTCTTCGACAGAACATTTTGTATACAACCACTCAAAAGAAGAAACTAAATTTTTTTAATTTTAAAACGTATGTAACTAACTCATATTCTATTGATTCTACTGTGGTGGATATATGGAATTGACGAATCGGAAAAAACATCAGCTTGTATCCTAGAGTAAAGACGCGCATGTCTATCGAAGTTGCAAAAAATAATATAGAAGGTGAAAGAAATTTGACAGAAAAACTTTTCTACCAGTAAAAATTGTTTATTAACTTCGATCGCTCGGGAGCGTTTGTGGTCAGATGCGGTAGATATGTTTTATAGTAGCAATATCGAAGCGAATAAGTAAAGTGATCCACTAAAATGTGCATAAAATGTACGTTGATATTACAATAGAGATTAAACCCAAATATGACTTTTGTTATTTATAATCATGGAATGATATTTACAAATCAGTAACAAAATATTATTATCGTTATTCATAAAACGATGGAAATTGTAAGTTATCATAAACCATTAGATCCAAATTCATGCATCCGGAATTCGTTCTTTGACAGCCAATAGCATCGATAAATAACCACCAGAGGTTTTTAGGATCTGCAAAATATCACGATAACTAATTAGTGTCCGGCTTGAAATTTCAAACGAAATAATATATTACTTGGGTATACAGCCGTAGTGAAAATTTAACAAATTTCCCAGCAGTTACTTCCACTGGCTTCTCGGCTTGATGCATTATCATGATTAATAATCTGGCATCTCGAGCTGGCAAATTGTACCATTGAAAATTGTAAGATGAGTCGCATATAGATAAACCCTGCATTGTAAATGGGAATACATAAATTTCATTGATACGATAGCTTTCAAATGCAACTATAAAAAGAGAATATTGATTGACTTCACTTCATCACGTAATTTATCAGTAACGTAGCAACATATAAATACGTGAGTAACGACGTGCATGACATAAATCGTCATGAAAAGTATTTGTAAAAATGATATACTTTCTTTATTTTCTGTAAGTAACTAATCAGAGTTTGATAATATTAATAATCAATGAGTTAAGTTATTTAATAAGAAAAGTTTACAATTACTTACGGATACTAGCATGAAAAGTTGTAGACATATTTGCACAGTGCAGGATAGAATCTCTGCCAAAAACATGATGTTAAAAATCCGTTCAATTTTCTTTGCAAATCTAAATTAATGATTATTAGGCAGTTGAAATGATATATGATTGAAAATCAATAATGCTTCGCACACATTAGAATAAAATTGCTACGCTCAAGATTTTTAAAAATACCAAGAGCACGCGCACCTGTTTAGGCTCTGATGTCTAATCACAAATGATTTAATATTCTTTCGAAATTCCATTCTAGAGCTAATAATATTTTCATCCGAGTCATCGAGTTTCAGTCTCAAATTGGCTATTTGTCCACGTAGATGTAGTACCAAACCGACAAATAAACAATAAATTCCAGAGTAGACGAGAGTCGCAAGGCCAGCACCAATATACTGCATCAGCCAGGTAATTTCGTACACAGGACTAATTTTGTAATTATACGGAAAGTACGAGCTAACCATCGGTAGTCTTTTCTCTAGTGGTCCAGGTAGGATGTTAAACTCTTGGGATAATCTCGTTACCACCTGACCGTTTACTGAGCCAAAACCCAAGATTACGCAAAGAAAAGAAATTTTGTGAGCGGCCGATGCGTTCTTTCGCATATTTTCCATTTGACGCTTTGTCTTGGGCGCGTTCCAATCAGCGATTACGTCTTTTAAAAGTGTGCCTAATTCTTTGATAAACATTTTTTTATTTTAATTATAAACATCGACTTTTATTGAAAAAAATAATTTAAAAAATTAATTAAGTAATTTTTATGTAATTAATTTTGAAAAACAGTAGTAAAAATAGAAAGTAAAAATGTACCTTTTTTATGTATTCGAAATATAATCATCTTCACAAGTACAACAGCTATTGGTAAATTGGCTATAGAAATATTGTCAATCATATTCGTCAAATCTCCCCAAATTATGATAAGCTTCGTAGTTTGTACTATGTTGATAAATACGATGATAATTACGAAAGAAACTGCGAACAGTATAATCGCAATTATTTCCTTGAATCGTGTACTTTTTAAACTTGGCCATAGTCCCACCACCCTTAGATTCATTCGGCATATTCCGAATGCATATTCGAAACCTAAGATAAAATATATTTAGTGCATCAAAATTTTAATCGAAATTCTTCATTTACTCTTTTTACTTCCATAAATTATAATCCTCAAACTTTTGTATAACATTTAAGTTAATGAAAAGCTTCATCGGGTTAGTATACTAATCGTAAAATCAACGATAGAAAACAAATAAACATACCTTTCTTTCCATCCATAGCGAGGTCAATGAGACGCGCACTCAGTGAACACTGTGCATGCGAGAGATCACAGAAAGTCCCATGATTTTTTAATGAAACAGAACGCGCGCATGCTCGAAATATTAAAAATTAAAGCTGCAGGAGGAGCTTGTGAAAAAAGAAGCCGTGAGTCAGCGATACCATCGGTTTTTTTTTGTATTTTATTACAACTTTAGTTCGATTTTATCCACACGTGGGGAAAGACTTTTGTTTTGAATTGATGAACTCAAAGTTCAAACTTTATGAAGATCGTTGTGGTTTTTGTCAGTGGAGAATTTCGAAAATGTTCGTTATCAATAAAGGTATTTCAATATGTTCGATAAACGATAGCAAATTATCGTAATCATGTAAACCTATGGTACTTATGGAATATTTTAAACGTACTTAAAATATATAATCATATTTTTGTTATCGAAATATATTTATGTTTCTGTTTACAACTATATTCACTTCATAGTAAAACATCCAGATACAATTTGGTACGATTCGTGAAAGCTATATACCACAAACATTTTGTTGTAGTGTTGTTTCAGTCGGTCATGCCTTTATTGCGCATAGCTAATAGTAATGAAAAGAAACTAGCACATGATTTTAAAACCTAAAAAGTATAAAGGTAATATTAGTTGAGGTTTATTTTTAAAGTAAGAATTCTTATGTTATATTAATAGGTCGTACTGTACAGAAATACTCTAATGACAAAACATGAAATTTGCCAGCAGTTATGTTTATGGGTTTTTCTGTTCTAATCATTATCAATAATAATAATTTAGATTCATTTGGTTGTAATTCATACCATTTCATTTTGAAAATTGATATGAAAACATTTTCACTCTGTAAAACAATTACTTTCAAAATCCTTATGTCCATTATTTTTTTATTAATACTTACATGTATTTGTAACTGTTCAGCAATGAAGCAATACACAAACAAACTGAAAAGGTTTGTTCCAACGTAAAAAATTGTGAAAAGCAACTTCGGTAATTCTTCCCAACCATAATTCGATGCGACCTATTTATTGAAAGTATTACTTTATATCGTATAGAATGACAAAAATGTAGCATTTACTTACAGACACAAACTGATAGCCTTGCAAGCATAGATGAATGGCTGATGAGAAAATTTATACTAAGAAAACCATGTTAAAATTCTTTTCTATGAGAGCAGTATATCTATAAAAAACAAAGGCAGGAAACATAACAATAATACCGGGATTAAACTTTTAATAGTATTTCCTTGAATCATCTGCACAAATATTCATGTCGATCGATTACAGGTATCAAAAAACTAGTAAAAGAACATTGTTTTTTCAACATTTCATCCACAAGAGTTTTATTTTTGCGCTGTAGATTATAAAATTGAGCACTATAGTGTAATGTCGTCAACACAAAAATGCCGTCGTAACCAGAGTAGATAATGCTGCAGATGATAATTGTAATACACAAAGATTATGCAATGATAAAGTAAAACTGAATTTTTTACTTGTAGTTACTCCATTAATTGTAAATTAAGGCGCGAGAATTATAGTATGCAAGGACGGAAAAATTCCTTTAAGTCTGTTTGAAACCGAAGAAATAACTCCAAGTCAAAATGCATTAAATTAAAAAAAGACCTTGTTGAGGATAGTTGCAATCGAGGATTGCACCGCTTGAGAATTCTTCGTAAGTGATAAAACAATAATCTTTGTTGACTTTAACGAAATTGCATATTGCTCATTCCATTAATTGTTGTCATTCAGAAGAAGCCTAAAAACCGATTCATATAACGTATACAAAGTTTTATGGCATGGAATAGAATGATTGAGGTTTTCGTTAGCCATTTCGGAATATCTGTGAACAATTTGTCGAAACAAAAAAAGATAAGGAAAAGCGTGAAGGGTATCCGCAACGGCGATTGAGCAATTAAAAATAATGATTCTTTATATTTTGATTAGACTATCTACGATTGATTTACCAATTTCCTTTCGGTTTTTTTGAATAAATAGTCACTTTTATTTCTATCGGAACAATTTCAAAATAGTTTTTTAATGAAAATAATTAATAAATATATTTGCAATGACTGATACTTTTGCTTTTCTTCAGTTATTAATAACATTATCTCGCATGGCAAGTAGTACTGAAAAAAAACTGGCGCAAGATTTTAAAACCTAAAATAGAAGAAATTTTAATTATTCTCAATTATCTAGCAATAATTCATTTATAGAAAAAACCATACTTTACAAAAGTATTCTAATGATAAGATAGCGAATTTTCCAGCAGTAATATTTACTGGATTTTCGGTACGAATCATCATGAGAAGAAGTAATTTTGATTCATATGGAAACAGCTCATACCAATTCACTTTGTAAATAGATGTATATAAGTCACCACTCTGTTGAAAAAAGTGATAATTTTAAACATTTATTGACAGAGTTTTATTTTGGATTTGAATAATACTTGTATCCGCAGTTGCTCAGAAATAAAGCAATAAATGAATAGGCTGAAGAGACTTGTAAATACGTAGAAAATTATAAAAAGTAACTGAGGTAGTTCTTTCAAACCATTTTTTGATATGACCTGTAGAAAATTTTTATAAAATTTTATTTGCACGTTTTCTAATGACCAACAAATAAATGTTATACTCACAACGACGAATTCATAGCCTTGCAGACATAAATGAATAGATGTAAACAAAATTTGTACGAGAAATACGCCGTTAAAGTTTTTTTCGACAAGAGAAGTGTACCTATTAAAAAAGGAGTTTGTTGAGGAATCAAATTAAAAATTATAAAAAAATTGAATATCCAACAAAAATTTTTTTAATTTTATAAAATATTAAGAAAATGTGTATTGTTAACGATAGATGACATTAGTTATTTTAACTTAATTAATTATATAATGTTAATTGATTATTAATTAATATTAATTAAAAGAGATTATTAAAAACGAGCAAAAAGCATGAAAAATGATCATAATCACCTGCACAAGTACTGATGACGATTGATCAATGGTACAAGTACGTCAACAAACGAGCATTGTTTAGCCATTTGATCCTCCACAAGATTTTCAACTTTAACGCGTAAATTGTTAAAGAGAGCGGTGTAATGTAGCATCAATAGTACGAAAACGCTATCGTAACCAGCGTAGATTAAACAAGCTGAGATGATGGCTAAATAAATGAGTAAGCACATAATTTCGTATACTGGAGTCGATTGTACGTCGAAATAGTAATCCATCTCCATGGCGAATGGTCTATCCATAGTCTCATTCTCACATAGCGATTTCAAATCAAAGTGATATTGTACGATAGCCCAAGTGTGAAGTAAATGACAATTAGACAGGAGTGAACAAATGCTCACTGTGGCGACTAATCGGCTGTATCGCGCGTATTTCCACATTAATATCTGTTCATTTTCCGTGGCGATTTTCCAGTCATTGTGAACACTTTTCAGAAGAACGTTGAAATCTCGAATTGATGCGATTCATTGTAGAAATTATTTAACTTTTTCTTGGTATACAAGTAATACATTTTTTGTTTATTTTTAAACTTTGCTTTACTCGATTATCAATTTTGTATTATTGATCAATAATTTTTTCGAGTAAAACTGTATATATTAAAGATATTTTTACCATTCGATACGATTTTATGATAGTTTGTATTTCGGAATCTCTTTTAGATTTTATACATTCAAATCCAGGTATTTTCACTTGATCAATATATAAATTATTGGATAAATGTTGAACTTGTAATAATTAACGTAGGTTGTTTGTTACTGATTGTATCAAGTTTTTATATCATGGTTGATGTTTACTCAGAGAACAGTAAAAAATGTCTTTGAAATTTTACTCTACAACAACTAATTAACAAAAAATTTAATGAGTATTATCATTACCTGCATAATTGCACCAAACTCTTAAAAACTTCAAAAAGCATATGATGACTATGATCAATCCAATCGACAAGATATCCACAACAGCATTCAAATCCCGCCAGATGTAAAGTAATTTCCTTACTTGAGGAACAATCAAAATGAAAAATATCATAGTCGGTGTCACGAAAACATAGTTTCGCTTGAAAAAATTTCCTTTTCCATGCGACTGCGGCCAAACTCCGATCAAGCTCAAGAGTAATCGACTTACTCCCACGCATTCCTCGTAACCCATTCGCTCTGAGGAAAGAAAATAAGTAGATGAGATAGTATATGTAATAAAGTTGTAATTATGTTAAAAATAACTTTTACAGTGATTCTATTATTTGAGCTTCACGCGATTATAGCCAAGAAGAAAAATTAAAACAAAAAAAACAATTTTCAAATTTAAATTAGTACTTCATAATAGAAGAATAATTGAGAGTTGTACCTGTCTTCAATTTCATCGGAACACGGGTAGCCTGAACTGAGTCCAACCTGAAACTTCTGTCACGACAGAAATTTCAACGGAGCTCCATTCCCACATGTTTACTGAGCCTAAATCTGCTCGAACCAAAATCGTAACACGTGCCCCTCGGAAATGCGACCACATTTTCATTTTTTTGTCAAACAAATTTTCAACTTCGTAAAATAATTATATAATTAAGTTTGAATACCAAATAAAAACATAATGCACACACTCACGTACGCACGCGCATGCAGAGACGCTTAAGCATACATATATATACACCAAACAGTAAGTAAACAAGAGTAGAACTATTTTTAATTTTGTTTATTTCTAACAAAAATTTCAATAAATAATACAATTTTTAAAACAAAAAATGTGGCTAGTATATTAATTGAAACAACAATAAATAAACAATATAATTTATCTACCAAAAAAATTATTCTACACGATTTTAACCAAAAATGAACAGCCGATTCTTACAGTAATTTCTCTTTGGCGTTTCGTTAATTTTTTACTGCGTTTAAACGTGCTTGCTATTGTAGTCACAAACTGATTTTAGTAAGTGATTTTCGTACTCTGGATTGTTAGATGATACTTTGAATCTTGCCCACGTTGCTAAGTAATCAAAGTGCACAGATTCCATGGCTTGTTCAGAGTAAAAGCCAAGCCCCATTTTCGTCTGTTCACAAAAGTCTTCTACGTGATAAAAAACTGCGTGAACCTTTGGAGTAACACGTATTTCCAAGCTTAAATAGCTCTTTTTGAATTCATCGATGCTTGATTTATATCCTGTCTGGAGTTTGTTTCCAAAGCATTTCTGTACAACGTTGTTAAATCGTTCTAATACATCAACATATTTTAGACAACTCAAGCTACATATTGCTCGAAGAATATCAGTCTTGTCCAATAAGATTTTACACGAGTTTCCTTTGAATCCAGTACCACCATACAAAAATTCTCGTTGAACAGCACACTTTTTAATCCATTCATTTGTTTTAACTTCAAACTTTTTAGACATACTATCAACAATAGTATTTACGACTCCTATCATCAAGTGCAATTCAGGGGGAGTGACAATATCCAAAATTTTTGTATCACTTTTTCCAGAAAAGAGAGGAGGATGAATACAATTTCCAAATTGTTTAGCCTTTTCTTTTTTCGATCCTGCATTGTACCAATTTCTATAATTACTTTCACAATTGCCAATTGTACGGAATTCGCCACGCCTTTCTAATTGATCCTTCTTCACGTAACACCAAGTACAGGGGTATGTTGAAGAATGGCTCATTATTCCTAATAAAATATTAGCAAGTTTCAAATCAGTAGACAGGGTATTGGAAAATTGATTGATTCCTAACAATTGCCATAATTCTGACACGTTTTGATAATTCTCTTGCGTGCACGGTGATAACGAAATAATGAATACTTTTTTTACTCCAGAATCTTTGAAGTTGTCCTGACCTATACCATCTACCAATTTCCGCCGTTTCCTAACAGTAGCAGAATCAGACTTGTCTTTACATTGAATTGATAAGCAAACCTTAAGAAAACCACCACCACCATCGATCCCAAATTTATAATGCAGATTAGTAGCATTTCTTTCAGTATTAACGTATGAAATAAATGCAGCAAGATTTTTGCAGTAAACAACAGGTTGATTATTAATAGTTTCTTCGTTTTTTAGCACATTGTGAAAATTAATCCTTTTCACATCAAAAAAACTGTCCACCTTATGGGCATTGTTTATTAATGAGTTTTTTAATCCTGGTTCAATTATTTTACGTTTTCGAGTTGCTGCACGAAGGTCTGATGCTATTCCTGCCGTAGTTTTACTACTCAAATTGTATTTGGTCTGAATCGTACACATATCGCTTGTAGATATCACTTGAGGGTCACTTTTATTTTTGGGTTTCACTGTCACTGGCAATGGCTGTCCTCCTTTTGGTTGTGAAAGCTTGAGACACACATCCGGATCCTTTTTGGAACTATTACTGTTTTTCAGAATATCATTTTTAAGCATTCCAGAAACTACTTGTTGTTTTTGCTGTTCATTCAAACCACTTTTGATATAATTTGTAATGTTATGAACTTGATCAGACTTAGTGCAACGATGAGTATGACCTTTTTGCACTTCAACGAAGCAATCATTACAACGTCTGACTGAATTTTTTTTCGTTTTACCTGGAACATATTGAAAGCATATATTTATTTACTAGAAACTTATTTGCAGAGGAATCTTTTTGGCGTAATGATTTTTTGCTTCAAAAGTTTAACTTCAAATGTCTATATATGTTTTTATCAAATGCTACAATAACAATAATAATGTACGTAATATTCAGAACTCAATTTGCAACGCTACTCACTTGCTCGTTTCCTTTTTTTGCATTTAGAATTTCTAGCTAGCTCACACAAGTAACAAAAACATATTCCTTTTTCATTGGATCTTGTAATTTTTTCTTCACCTTTAAATTTGGATAAATTTGGCAGTTTTAATTTTGTGTTCGACCTTGAATTTTCACTTGACTTCGAAAAATACACTTTTCTTCTACACGCACTACACAAAGCAGCAGGGTAACGATCATCAATAAACTTATTAGGTTTCAGCAAATTTTCTAGAAGTGTTAACAATTTTCCTTCAATTTTGAACATAGTTCTAGTTTTACCACAACACAGTAAGCAAATTTTGTGCCGATTCGCTTCGTGAGAACATGCATGCCTTTTTGATATATTGACTTCCATTTTAACTTTGCACCAGAATGATAGTAGGTCTGCACTCAGACAAGAAGAATCGAAATGTGATTGAGAATAAAAAGCACACCTTACTGAGGTTCGCAAAACATAAACAAAGGCTCTGCCGATAAGGCCGACTTAATCTAAGCAAGAACACACATGTGTGTTTGTATACAAACACCGTTTTGGAATATACTATCAGCTCCGATCAATTTGATATCGGTAATCAAGGTATCGCTTTCAAGCTATTGAATTATAAATCTTAATTTAATTTCTTTCACGTGTGCGTGTGTGTATTCGTGTGTCTAAATGTGTACCTGCATGTTGCGTATATATTAAGTTTTTATTTGGTATTCAAACTTAATTCTATAATTATTTTACGAAGTTGAAAATTTGTTTGACAAAAAAATGAAAATGTGGTCGCATTTCCGAGGGGCACGTGTTACGATTTTGGTTCGAGCAGATTTAGGCTCAGTAAACATGTGGGAATGGAGCTCCGTTGAAATTTCTGTCGTGACAGAAGTTTCAGGTTGGACTCAGTTCAGGCTACCCGTGGGAAACGTTTGCTGAAGCTCTCTCGCGAACCTTAAACTGGCGAAGCAGTTCGTCGATGCTATGGTTCCTCCCTTCGGAGCTTGGGACTTTAAAATGCACGCATGCTCAAGTGACCCGCGACGCGGTCAGTCCACAATTCGCTTGTGACTTCGCAGTTTCATGCGAAATTTCGAACTTGTCGATATCATCGAAAACCGCAGTACTCGACGTTTCCCTTGTCCACAGTCATGGGGTATATTTCTTTTCCTTGTTTGGATCTGAAACCAAACGTTAGTGGACAAAATTATTATTAAATTATTACAAAATTATTTCATCCCAGGCAAAACAAATGTGGAAAGTTGTTTGAAAAAAGTAATTAGAAGAAACTTCAGTTCTGTAACAGTTGTTCGCTTGATCGTCTGATTAGCAGCCAAAAGTTTCAATGCTCAATTTATTTGAAGCCAAGAGATAACAACGTAACAACATTGTAACAAAATACGCTGTATTCCACGAGGGAAGCATAAAAAAGTTACTCACATTGCGGTGCCAGTAATGATCAGTGGTAAGATACAATGAGTTTCAATTGAACGATAGGAACAAAAACTTGTTATCGATATAATTTAACAAGTGGTAGACTAGTAATTTGATGGTTCACAATCAGATCAATATATAGTGAGAGATTAAGATATCGTAAAGTGTCGATAATTACGAGTAAAATTTAGATATTTATTATGATTGTTAAATGAAAAAAAATAATATTTGTAATCTTTTGTTACGATTATATATTGTGACTTTTAGAACTAACCATCTTATCTTTCGCAAAACAATCTTTCTAGGAGAAACATACACCGATTTTTCAATGCAACAGGGCCGATAAAGATCAGAGTGGTATTTTTAATATCTATACAAAGATAATTAATAAAACAACTACTGAGATTATGTGATTCAGACTGAAAATCAACTTACTTTTATGAAATATTCTAGCGTGAAAAGTTTCACATAACTATTCATTAGCAGAACCACCGAAATTGCATCTTTAACAAGTATCTCGTACTAGTACATCTAAGAAGCTGGGTAGAATAATGTTTATTCTCTCTGAAAACAAAAAATGCGCAATGTAAAAAAGACAAAAATTTTCACTTGATTTCTGTGGCATATTATCTCGTCTTGAAGTATTTGTGCGAAGAATCAATACGTGAATATATCAGATAGATTGACTGTAAAAAGTATTATGAAAATTGTAGTAGTTTTTACTGTTACATCACTTTATGAAATAATATTCAGATTTATGACTTCATTTGTGTTTTGCAAATAGCAAATAATTAATTGTCAATTGTTTTATTAAAACGTCATCTCATTGCTATGAATTTGTAGCCTTGTATAGATACAATGCGACAGATATTCTCAATATTTACACGAGAAATGATTTATTAAAGATTTTGGCATGTTATCGACACAAATGAACTATCAAGTCAAATACAGTTTAATTTTTCTAATTTAACAGCAATCAAGAAAAAAAGTATGTTATAATATTTTGAAACATATAAAAATTAATTTTACGAATTTTACTATCATAACGATTTATTTCTTTTCTAGTTATCTAATCTAACTTACCTGATAAGATTTAGATATCTATGCATCACAGATTCCAAGCAACTAGTGAAAAATCTTCTATTCTGTTGATACTCGAGAACTAGTTTTTGGAATGGTCCTTAGGATTATGCAATTGATCACTGAAGTACAGAATTGAGGAAATGTAGATGTGCAATTGTGACGTCACCTATAAGAAATACATTGTCGCCGAATTTAAACGTTTAGAAGTGTTTAAAATTGGGGACAATGTATTTCTTATGGGTGACGTCATATTAAACGTTTAAATTCAAACACATGGGTTTACCGTGATAAGGTTCGTGCTTAGAATAAACGTAAGTATTTATCTGCATATCTTCGCGTTTATTCACATTTTTTGCTGCTCTTCTGGATTTGTGCTCTGCCATTATTTGTATATCTGTGCCAGAAGCTTTGTATACTAAATCTAGAGAATAATATGTTTAATTATACACATTTTCATTTTTTCGTACAGTTACACGGTAAACCCATATGTTTAAATTTAAACGTTTAATATTACGTCACCCATAAGAAATATGTTGTCCTCAATTTTAAACAATTCTAAACGTTTAAATTCAGCGACAATGTATTTCTTATGGGTGACGTCACAATTACACACTTAAAACGTTTAAATTTAAACACATAGGATTTTAAGGTTTTGCCGTGTTATTCATTAAAATTCTTCAATCTTTTCAAAGTGCAATTTCAGCAATATTTTTCCATAACTTCAATATTCTACCTATTTTATAATATCATCATTTTAGCAAAGCAATGTAAAAGTTGATGTCAGATTAATCAACGTGAACAGCAGAAACATTAGAAGTTTCTAACTTGATACAGTCACAGTATTGTCAAGTAGCCACAAATCAATAGTTTTTATGGCCCAGCGTATACGCAACGTATGTTCCTCATATCCTGCAATCACTTTAACAACACCTTACGGGAAAAATATGCGTATCTCATGTGTATTACATTGGCATACCGATCTCGTCGTCGACAGTCATCGTAAAATAAGAAATGCTATAACTACAGAAAAAAAGCTGAAGCTTCATTCGATGTCAACCAATATATTGCAGCTTGAAAATTGTGACGATCGTGTGGTCAAACGCATGCTCGTAAGAGTACATATGAAATACGCGTGCATATTGAGCAGCAGCTCTCACATGACAGTGTAAGCAGTTATATCGAAGGGTCGCAATACGATCTGAAAGTTCGTTAGAACTTCGATGCTACGGGAACGTCATTACGTATTTTATGTGAATTCAAAGTGAATATTGTAACTAGTGATACTGAATGAATTTTTAATCAAATTATCAACGAAAAATTCTTGTAATTATTGTTAATTCGAAAGCGCTCAATAACTGTCATCATACGTTAATTTACATATTTTCATTGCAAAATTTATCATTTAAAGTATGATAATATTAGTGATTGGTGAAATATATTATGTGCATTAAATAATATACGAAACAATTGTGTGTAGTTGTGACAAAAATGTTTTCAAACTTGTTGATTCGAGAGCAGAACGCATCATTGTTTTCAAGCCAATGTTAAATGACTTCAAGAGGAGAGAAATAGAATGCATTGTATTTTTACTGGACCAACTGATGTAACTACAAAATAAATTTATTATTTTGTGAAACGTCTGTACTTCCTAGTTATCTACGTGATTTTACAATCAAATTTGAATTAAATGTTGGTATATTTCAATAGATTCACTCAGTCTATTTGTTTTTTTACTGCCAATAAAACTGTCAAGTATCCCATTGAAGTTTTCATGATCTGTCAAAAGATTTATACTATAATTAAGCCTTTTTCAAAAGAAACAATTTCCATGGTTTTTACTTTTGCAAAGTATTCGAGTGTAAAATCCGCAAACTTGCCAACTGTAATTTTGATTGGCAGCATACATCTGCCCATTATAACCACAACTAGGACGGCATCCTTATCTGCTAATTCATACCATTTCATCTCGTAAATCGCATAATGCAACTCATCACTCTGCAAAAGAAAAATAATTAGACGTAGAATAAATATTAGCTTTATTATTTAAATATATAATTCACCTCGTCACGGATTATTTGGGCAAAGTAGCAATACATGAATACACTAACGGCGGTACTTGTCATAAAAATGACGATATAGACTAGGTTGACCAAAAGTTTCTCACCATTTTCAGATATAACCTTTAATATAATGACGTTATCTTTGTTGTTCCAGATTTATATATTCTATAATGTTTCATTTTACCGTGACAAATTGGTATCCTTGTAGGCAGAGAATCACTGAAGTGCCAATTACATGCATGAGTAAAGTTTGATTAAAACTATTTTCTATTATGTCAGTATAACTGAAAATTAGATATTCAAAAATATTATTTTTATTCCACTACATCATTATTATTTGCGTAATTAAACGCAGAATTTCAATGGAATCATTACTAAGATTTTTTCTGCGTATGATTTCCTTATAAAAGTTATTTTTATCAAAATACCTGATCAAATGCTGATGTCTAAGCACAGCAACCTTCAATGACTGAATGAATCCAATTGTATCCATCTTATATTGTATCACAAGATTCCTGAAACAATGCTTCAGATTATATAGCTGACTGCTAAAGTGCAAAATCGAGAAAACGAAGAATCCATCGAAAGACGTAAAAACGGCACAACTTAGCATCGCACTGAGCCACTGGTAAAAGCATATTACTTCGTATACGGGACTGTAACTAGTATCGAAAGGGAAAGAAGATTCGAGAAATAATGATTTATCAAGCGAAGAATTTTGATGGGCACTTAAGGATGTTATAAGGAATATAACTGAATGTGTCATCACTGTGCCAAAAGCTGCGAAGTAGCAGAATATTACTGCCCATTTACTCAACCTCGCGTACGATCACATTATTTTTTTCTCTTTAATACTTGTATTTTTCCAGTCTCGTGCGATTTGGAGAACAATTTTTTTCAGTCCTGTGTAACATGATTTTGAAAATAATTAAAAGGTATAAATATTCATAAACAAATTCAGATATTTGTAAGATAATTTTACAATGTCGATACTCAGGTCACAGATATTTGTGTTTAATACAGGTCTTGCGAGTTACTTGTACTATAATTACATGTTTCTTTGTCATAAGTAGTACCGTTATAATCATGTTTATTTGCACTTTTTACATCGCCATTACTTGCGTAGATAAATTTAACTTTAATATAAATCTAAAATTCTATATTTTTATGTATGTTCTAGTGAAATGAAAAAAATTAAATCAAAATCAAAATTATAAATTAATCATCTCAAATATCTTTTAAAATGGCGAATGATAAAAACTTCGAAAACGTCGTATAAGTTTAACGCCAACGCAAAGCTCTTCAAATTATTTGTGTAATGACTACTCTGATTATGCAACCATTTGGTATATAGGTAATATCAAGAAAAAATCAAATACCACTTTACCTATTCTATGGTTCCACATGGCTAACATCTTTACGGAAATTATTCCTTCGACGATAGCAGCGGTAGTTAGCACTTCGAGCATTAAATTAAAATCATTGCTCACTAGAATGGCTTTATTCGTTTGAGGAATAACAATGAAACCTACTAGCAAGACTTCGATCAGGAAAAACTTACACCGATTTTTTGGTTCTTTAGGGTCGTCTAATGGCCAAACACCTGTACTTTTCATAAAGAAGCGAGTAACGCCGACGCATTCGTCAAAACCTGTAACAAAGTTAATGTTGTTTCTACTGCTTAATTTTATAGATTCTTTTCGTTTTGATAAATCAGATTGACACTTCTATGAGAAAGAAACGCTGTTCGATTAATTTTAATTTTCGATGTTAGAGAGAAAGTTGTCACGCGATTCTCACCAGTTATGGTTTTCATCATTGAGTATTACTAACCGCACTAGCTATACTGGTGGATATGTCAATTTGCCCGCCACCCTCGACACCACTTGTCTCCTTAAGACAGTGTATGATATTGATTCAATAGCGCATGCTCATTGAACCTACTTTACTTCTTGTAAGCGAGGCAATATGTACCTACCATATTTTCTATTTGCTATCAGTTTATAAAAGAGAAGAGCAGTCATCTTTCAAATCTTCACAATTCAAGATTTTTCGTATTTAAAAACTCGAAAAAGAAAATAATAGTGAATTGTTTGTTGATTATTGAAAAGTATGTATATATCTTTGTATGTGTATCCGTGTTATATTCAATGAATCTTATGTATAATGATTCCATTTTGAATCTCTGTAAAAAATAATTAAAAGTTGTAGAATTTCTGTTTTACAGTGCTTGGTAATCAATCGTAAAAGTAGTAAAATATAAAAATGAATGAGTGATAAATAAATTACTTAATAATAAAACAAATAATCTTATGCAAAATCAAAACAAAGATGTTAACATAAATTTAGTTTGAGAATTTATATTTACCCTTAGATATATTTAAAAAACCAAATCATCGTTACCGAAAAAATGATTGATAATGATGTTAACGTTTTCTCCATTATTTCAATCTATTTAATAATTATTGTATAAGCTTAGTGGGATTAATAATGATTTTTATAACATTTCATGGGGTATCGACTTGTGATAAATAATATATATTGAACTAATGTCTGATTAACTGTGTATATTGAAATTTTATTGAATTTAACGTAGTAAATATATGTTTACACGTACGTTTTTTCTACAATATAATTGCCTTATACCTTTATGTTTCTTTTAAGCAATAATTTGCATCAAAAGTAACCCATTGGTGTTTTCACGATTTGCACCAAGTGCACGAATATTATGTGATTTGGTGAAATTGGCTTCATGTAAGCGTATCAGTAATTGTATTGTATGTTTCGTCAGATGCCAATAGAATATTTATTTCGAAATAGTATTGAACAAAATGCAATAGTAATATACCTGTACATTTTTTCCTGGTTTTTTCTACATATACCTAAAGATCTTTTAAACAATAGTTGTATTGTATATCTTATTGTAATTTTGTTTATTATCGGGTTTTAATATTGCTAACTAGCTACATATAAATGAAGCATAGCTAGTAGAAAAAATCCATTGAAGGCCGAAAATGAATTATCGCTATTAAAGACATGCTATTATTTGACCAATTCAGTAAACTTCAAGCACTGGACTTTTTTACATATCAAACAAAATTTGTAATAGCAGTATCACGTCTTTCGGTACCGCCATATTGCTAAATTCGTTGGCTTTTCTGTCATCTGCATTAATAAAGAAAATATTGAATAATCCATAACTCATTAAGAGTTATAGAAATAAATAAGAAGATCTAATATCATTCTTTTTAAAGTGCGTATGATTTGACTAGTATATTTTATAAAAACTATATCACAAAGTCATCATCGATTTTTCAACTTATCTCTTAAGAACTAAACTAAACTAACTTTCTTCTAAAACTTATAGGCTTGCTTTATAAATACATTTGTTTTACTACTTACTTAGACACTTCATATTGCTCTAATATTTTCTTTAGACAGCTAGTAGCATTGAAAAATAGCTCACAGGTATTTTCAACATTTGCAATATATATAAAATTCGTGTGCTATAATTATACAATAAATCAAACTTTTCATTTTCATAATTCAATCAATACGCATTATATACTTTTGTGAAATATGATAAAGTAGCAAACTTTCCAGCAGTTATTATAAGTGACATTTTAGAAGCATACGTAAAATTTATGAGCAATCTGGATTCCTTTGGCTTTGAGTCATACCAACGTACTTTATATGTAGTTAGGAAGATATTTGTATTCTGAAATAGTTAAGTATTACTTTTTATAATCAGTAGAGTCCAACAATTCAATTATATCGAAAACTATTCTTCTTTTGCAATTTTTCAGCAACTCAACAATACATAAATAGACTCTTAATATTGGCACTTGTAAAAACAAAATGAAGTCTACTGTTGCCATACTGTTTTTAGCTTTTTCTATTACACTCTGTGTATTAATAAAATACCTACTGTTCATAGTGTATTATTGAAGAAACGAACATACAAGTTATAATACTCACAGTAACTAACTGATAGCCTTGCAAGCAGAGCGTTATAGAGTAGCATACTCGTATCATTTGCGCCAGTAAAACTTTATTGCTTTCAATGCAATAAGTAAATCTATGATAAGAAGATAAAATATAGCATAATTATAATTGATATATATCAATAAATTTAAGTAATTTAAGAAACCTTACTTTTGTTGATGAATATGTCTTTTGATGATGAGTTTGGGGGCTTTATAAAAACAAGTTTTTTTGAATCTAATTAATAATTCAAAAGCTTGAAATTTGTTCGGAAGTTGCAAAGTTGAGAACAAAGGTATAGGATGAAAAATATAAAAAATCATCAAAGGACGTAAATGTGCTAACATTCAAAGTGGCTGTAATAAAGTGACAAAGCCAAATAATTTTGAAAGTCGGACTGATATCAGTTTCAAAGAAAAACTTAGAAATTACAAACATTGGTTTGTTTCTAGATGAATCTATCTTGTAATGCCCTCATATTTGTCGAATCTATTTCATACTTACGTTAGTTATTTTTTCATTAATACTTGAAGTTCAGAAGTGATATAAATACTTTCTTTTCGTATAGTTTATTCCTTCGAGACTGATACTGTCTATCGTTCCACAATTCAATGTCCTTACAGCGTAAACTCAACCACAACTGACGTGTAAGAATGAATTTCTTGGTACAAGTCAAACATGCTCGCTTGCGTTCATGGACAAGAACTTGGATCGTGAGAGAATGATGATAGTACTGACCGTTTTGTGCACAGATTATCAAGTTTCCTAGCGAATAAGAATATGATGCACGTTCTCGAAACTGATGATTATTACATGATCCGTTTTCCTCGGTGCGTATTGATTTGAACACGTGTTGAGGACGTCCGTTAAGAAACATTCTCGTGTACCATTACACCCTCTATGCAAGAAATTTACGTAAACAATATCTTAGACAACAGTTTTACAACAAGTTTTTTTATAGAAAGCTTTTTGTTTTCTAGAATCATTTTCTAGATCAATACGATCACTTGATCAATTACTTTTATTCATATTACTTTCAAGAGTTGTAACTAAAATAAGTTTTCTTTATAGTCACTATTTGTTTATTATGTAAAATTTATGTTCATATATTATTATGAAAAAGTTAGATGATATTTCAATCTTACATTAACAATCTTCGAATAAAATATAGCAGAAATAAATAAAATAATAAGTCAATAAACCTAATAAACCTACAAGTATGTGGATAATAATTCTCTTTTTCAGCATCATGTAAATATGCTCAACAGAGTAATTTAAAAAAATTTAATAAGACATATACTTTCCATATTAGTTTCAATTGAGCTGCTAAACTAATTTACCTATTTTTACATCTATTTTAACTCTTCTCTTCACGGCCAACAACATTATAATTAATTATAATTAATCATTAATTATTTAAAATTTATCGAAAAAAATAAATAAGTCATCTTCTTTTGCAGTGATAAATTAAATTCCAAAACAAAATATAAATAAAGTATCGAGCGTTTATAAGATATCTAATTACTATGATTTGAAGCATTCCTAAACCTCTGACAGAGAAATTAATCACTAGATATGCAGATCTTCGAATGTTAATAGTGAATAGTCACTACTAACGTTTAAATTACTAACGTTTGAAAAAATAATTTATTTTAGACTTGTTCATCTGTACGATGGTAAGCAATATAATTTTTCATGTATGTATGAAATTAAGTATTTTATTCAATTAATTATAAATCTTATACTAAGAACTGCTGTTGATTATAAAAAAATCTTAATGTTAATCCTTTAACTAACTATATTACCTAATTTATCACTTTTACTATAGATGACTGTATACACGATGATTATACTAATTTGAAGAGATGACAATTATTATTAACATTATTATTATTATTATTACCAAATGTATGATGAACTTTAGTTGTATCAAATATATGTGAACTTTAGTCTTTACAGCTATTTAAATGTATAGTTGTGAATTATATTTTACCAATGACGTTATATAAGCTATTGATATTATCGATGTGATAGCCACTGATTGCGCCACAATAATTGAAGACCAGTTTAAAAATCCTACGAACATATACAGTATATAACAATTTAAAAACTCTATTGAAAGTACATACCGTACGTGCAATTTATCTGGTTATTGATGCTGTCCAAATATCAGATTAACCATGGATTCTTCAAGAGCCGATGAAAATTATTAATTTAGAAGTAGAGATTATTTTCGTTTTCACAGAAAGACACATCTGTTCTTCTTCATGCTTTCATGAAATACTCCGTCTCATGGCAAGTTTTATGCTAACTGAGTGCATCTGTACGTATCAAATCATTTGCTATTCCATTCTATTGCTATCTATAGTTACCAATGCTTCATGAAGACTGCTCAAATTGTCTACAATTTGCTTTATACCACTTATGATTATTGCATAAAAAGAAATATTTTTCAGCGAAATTTTATTTAAAGTTTACGTATATTGATAATACGCACTTAGGAAGCAATAAAAATAATAAGCGAGTGGAAAAAATTATTTTTACATTGCTACACCGAAGAGCTTGCGCCTATATATGCAGTGTATTAAATAGAACACCATATAATTAAAACCATAGCTCGGAGCAAAGTAAGATAACAAGTTCTGTGGTTAATTAAAATAATGGAGGAAAAATATTTTTCAGAAACACCGTCTTAGTTTCGTTTTAATTATTTGTAATTAGCGGATCTGTGCTATGGTATAGCAAACTGCGATGACGCACGTAGATACTAAAAGTATTTTTCTCAATCGTGCTCTAGAAGTAATTGAAATAATATAACCATAGAATTATTTTAATTTTGGTAGGATATCTCCTCATATATCGATGAAACTTGATAATTATTTGTAATTGAGTGAATGACGTATTGTGGTTGTAGATTGCATAAATTAAAAGAAAAGTATCATTTTAATACTTCTATACAAAAGAATTTGAGTACGTACGCGTTGCTTCTAAATTAGAACAAGGTAGAATTAAAACCATAGCTTGAGTGAGGATGCATCACTGGAATACAAGCGAAGTAAGATAACGAGCTCTATGGACAATTAAAATAACAAGAAAAATTATGTTTTTAAGAAAAATTGTCTTCGTCTCGTATACGTAGAAAATCCAATTATATTATCTGTAATCAGGCGACATTTCCTCGTATGATGGGGATATGTGAACATAAATACACATGAATACTAAAAACAAAATTACAAGAAAACGATTTTGTAAACCTTGTAAAATATGAAGATCAGCCAAATTAGAGATACAATAAGCTTACAGATAATAAGAGGGAGAATACTTTGTTTCCTTCTAGAACTTTTTTTCTACTAACCTTCCACTGTTAAAGATATTCAAGCCACATGCGTGAACTTGTGAATCGATGCAATTTGATTGTTCTAATACCTCTTATTGAAATACGTTCAACTGATAACACGTCCAATTTATTGTCGCAGTTGAAACTTTTAATGTGTTGTTTTTAAATAATTGATTCTTTCCTTTGTTGTGGAATATCTGATCCAAGTGCAATCATGAATAAGAAGATATTAATTGACCGTGAATAACAGTTTTATTTAGCAGTTTAATTCATCATATAATGAATTATAAGTTTCGTCATATTTGTAAACACATGATAAATTGCACGATGAATCAATTGAAGACATCGTTTTTCCAAATTTTATTCTGGTCGTCATATCACATAATTGTATACGTAATAAATAATATTGTTACGTAAATAAATTCGAATGATACACTTCTATCTGATTACCATATGATTTATGATGCGACTTATTATATGCTGAATCGCATAATATATCAAATGATTTATCTTGTCTAATAATTTTTTCCTATTATTTTCTTGATGTTATTCTCTTAGCTGATTAAGCATTTATTTAAATTCTTAATGGCCATTTCATTTATTCATAGACACATAAAGCTAACATTGTGAAAGGCGATTCTCGATAAATTTTTTATTGAGATTGATGTGAAAAAACTATTTTTAATGACAGTATTATAATACGCATTGCATAATTGATTTCGATTTCAATGGAAAATTTTTGATTACCAACAGTCTGACATGACGCAACGTTTTTGACGTACATTATAAACAATAAAGGTATTCCGATAAAATCACTTAAACTAGGTAAGCAATACTTTCAAAATACATTTATTTTATATTTTGATTATAAAATTAACTAGCCGAGAAAATTAAAGTGGAATTTTAGTACATGTGAAAGAGAAAAAGATATTCGAATATTTTAACTCGATGAATCAGAAACTCTGTCTCATCATATAATAATCAAATAACAATTTTCTATGTGTAAAACAGTTAATATGAATTATTTTTGGACAATAAGAACAAAGTTAAATCTTAAAATTCAGAATTCTTTTACATGTCGTATTTAATCAGACGTCGATTATGATCGAAAGAAGATGAAGTGATAATATTATAGTACATTATGATACAAGTGCGAAAAAGAGTTTTTCGTCTCGTGTGCCTTTTCTACCCTCGCTTCGCACTTCGCTTAGGTGTAAACGCCACACGAGACGAGAAACTCTTTCCCGAATATGTGCCGTTATGTATTTCACGATACGAAGTATAGAAAAAGCAATTTTCAACTCACGATTTGCGTTAAGCATGCGGAAAACACATTTTACGCACGGAGTGTCGAAAAGATAAATTTATAGTTAATTTAACAAGTTATATAGTTGAATTTTGGACCATTTATAGAATATTATGTATTTATAACTATACATAAGAATTGGATTGAATTTTCTAATAAATTTTCTAAACTATGTCACTAAAAATTTTATGCAATCGTATTTTATTTTATGATGGTCTTGCATATAATTGTGTCGTAATATTTTTAATTAGTATTTTTATTTTCCGATAACTGAAAAAAAATTTTCACAGTTGAGATTGATATTGAATTTGATACTTATTTGGCAGTATTTATAATCGATCTTTCATGGCAAGTAACATCGATAGATACCCGCCCGAGGTCTTCAATATCTAGAAACATAATCATATAAATAGTCATGGTACTGTTCTAAATTAAAGTATGTACGAAATAGCATTACAAAATATAATATGCAATTTTGAAAAACAGAACTGAGATGCAAATTCATAATAATTACATGAGCCCGCTGTCGTGTCAGGTATTTTGTTTTTTGAAATACCATCCATTTCCAGTTAACATTTCGCTCATGTTAAAATTCCGAGAATTTTTTCAATATTCTGTTTACCATAAGCAGTACAGTGCACCTCATAACTATAGAAACACCTTCGTGCTATGTGGTATAATTAGTTATGTTCTCTAAATTCTATGAACATTCGCTAAAACTTTTTCTTCGTCTTACATATCCATAACTCTAAAAAAATTTATTAGTTCATGGTAACAAAACTGACATAAATAATTTTTTAAATCATTTATTTAAAAAAAGTCTAAATTAACACAAACTTTTTTGTCTCATAACTATTGAAACACTCTAAATATTTCCATTTTTCAAGGAAATAACTAATTATATTAAGTATTCACATTAATTATTTATAAAACAACATAAATTCAACTAAAGTCAATTACGTATTTCATTTATTCGAACAAATTGATTGAATAAATTGATTGTATCTAATACTTTCTGTATCCCGAGATGTAGCCGCCATTCATTTGGATATCTTCAAATTTAAAGCAAGCAAGCGGCTGTGCATACTGACCATTTTTTTTACAATTCATGGCATGTTGCTAATATTGTAATGTACATATAAAAATTTATTTTGTCTAGGCATTTATATTTTTGAACTCTCACGCCACATTTGTTGGTGTTATGCTGATCAGTCGAGTCGCTATAGTCGACGCATACGGTGTTAGTGTAACGGATCTCATTCGAATGAAGTTCAGAACGACAAGGTCACCTAAATCATTTTTATTGGAAAACTAAATCCGGCGTATACATCAATCGTAAGCATCATGCTAAGAGGCTAGTATCCAATAGATCAAGAAAAGGATGAAATTCAAGCATTTTGAGAATCTGAATTAAGTATGACAAAAATTGAAAAGGTCAATCAAAGTTATTCAGGGCTATTTGAAGAACTCTGTTATATATGATAGCAAAAAACTGGTGGATCAGAGAAAAAAATCACGCCTCGTTTGAAACGTCAAATTATTAACGCACCTAGTAATTCAACTAAAAGTTTAAATCAGAAAAAAAAATCTTTTAACAGTAAAAGTTTCACGATCTACTGTACATCGAGTTGTGCAACAATCTTAAAATATTACAAGATAGAATATGACAAAAGTTCAAAGATTACTGTCGCGCCAAGAAGAAGCAAGATTCAATTTTGAAAAATGGTAAATTCATGAGATTTTTAATCAAAAGTAAATTTTAATTGTTTATAATTTTAAAAATAATTTTCTCAGATGAAAAGAAATTTAATCTTGATGGCCTAGATGGTAATCATTCATATTGGAAAGATTTATGCAAAAAATCTAAATACTTTTCTCGTAGAAATTTTGGCGGAAGCTTGAAGGTATGGAAGCTTTTAGTTCCCTCGAAACATTGCCTTTATCTTTTCTACCATGTAAAATGAATTCTGCAGAGTACATTCACATATAAGCAGACAATTTATTACTGTATCTGGACAATAATAAATAATTAGAGCTAGTTTTCCAGCAAGACAACGCATACATGTAATTCGAGAAACTAAAACTTGGTTTAACGATAATGACATTATAGTTTCAAATTGGCCTGCGTATTCTCTAGATATGAATCCTATGGAAAATCTTTGGGGCATTCTTGTTCATAAAGTGTATACTGATAACAATCAAGAACAATACCAGAATCTCTGATAATACTGTCCAGGAGTTGAAAAATGCAGTTCTGCAAACATGGCGTGAAATTAACTCAAACACTATCGACAATTTAATTTCCAGTATGCATTTTTGAACTTATTCAAAAAAATTGGGCACAAAGTATTACATAATTGAGTTTAGTTGAATTTGTAATGTTTTATGAAAATGTTTAATATAATTAATTTTTTCTTTGAAAAAATGGAAATTTTTAGAGTATTTCTATAGTTTTGAGACAACAAAGTTTAGAATAATTAAAATTTTTTTAAAATAAATAATTCAAAAAATAATGTATGCTGATTCTTATACCATGAACCAATGAATTTCTTTAGAGCTATAACTTTTTGTTGAATTGATAAAGACGAAGAAAAAGTTTTGACGAGTGTTCATAGAATTTTTCAAAACATAATCTACTTATACCACCTAACACTAAGGTACTTCTATAGTTATGAGGCGGACGTATATAAGCCTTTGATTAAGAACATGAGTATTGTAAAAAATAGTTTGAATGATACCAATGTACTAACTTTACAGTACAACTCCAAGGAAAAATTCACAAATTTTCCGGCCGTGATTTGGAATGGTTGTTTTGCTCTCAACATTATCATAATCAGAGGTTTTGTCTGTGCCGCAGAGAGATTATACCAGCCAATTTCATACGCCACATCCCCGATTTCCATACTCTAAGAAAATATTCAGTGGATCTCTTTATAATTACAGATCCTAATAAAATTAGACTTTTACCTCTTTCCGCAAAACTTCGGCCACGTAACAGTATACAAATAAGCTGAACATAAAACAAAGTGTGAAGTATATCATGAAAATGAGATCAAAAAGTAGAATTCCATCTTCTGTAGTTATCATCTGTAGAATGTAATATGATACTACTTTCAAAATTGATGATAAGCATTTTATTAAATCTTATTAAATGAATGTAAGAGAAAAAATTATTTACAATGGTGATTATTATAAAGGACTAAAATAAAATAGTGAAACAATAGAACGAGTGTTGCCGATTTTCGAGCTAAGTGATTTAAATGCATTACGAGTGCGTATACAGCGTGGCACGCGCGGTTACTAGTTTGAGCCTGATCAGTATATATACGCAAACGTTGAATAGCACTTAATTAAGCTATCCGCTATAAATTACGTTACAAACTAGAGCGGTAAAAAGGAATAATAACTAGTCAATAAAATAGTGCAGTGATTAAAATTTTAAATACCAAGTACAGCCGTTACATAACACATAGAAAACAATTAATTTCTATAAAATAAATTTAATTGAGAATGTTTTCATATTTTCTCACCGTGACAAGTTGATAACCTTGAAGACAAAGCACTAATGAAGAAACTACCATTTGGACGAGAAACATCACATTGAAAGCGTCTTCAATATTTCTAGCAAAACTAGAAATTGTTAAATGTACATGAAATTGTGATTTCGTGAAATAAAACAAGAAAATGATGAATCATAAATCACAATTATTAACCTATCAAGATATTGATGCCGTGCGATGATATGTACAAGATTTTCCGAATAACTTTCCACATTATCAATGTTGACGGAAGATAGCAACAAACTTTTCAGATTTTCCTTCAAATTGTTCAGTTGACCACACAGATGAAGAACGAGAACGGCAAAAAATGCATCGACCGCTGAAAAAGATGAAGCCGCGAAGATCGTCGAAAAGCATTGAAATATCCAAGTTATTTCAAACACTGGACTTTTCTGTACATCATAGAAAAAATCGGCTTTCAAGTAGAGTGGTCTAAATTTTTCCGTTACATTATTTTCGGGATTTGTTTGACGTGCATACGCGTTATAATTGAAATAAACGGCAGCTACAAAGTAGGCAATGACGGTTCCTTCGGCTAATAATATTATGATGATGGACATCAATCGACCACGTCTAGCATTTTTCCACATTACTAGTAGCTCCTTATTTGTTTTTGGTGAAGTCCAGTCATTGAACATCGACAAGACAAGCTGGTTTAATACTTTTCAAAGATAATTTAAAACTTTTCACATGTAACATTTATAGGAAAAGTTGGAAAATTATTTGAAGAGAAATTACATGCGAAATAATTGTGTACACGTACCATCGGCGTTATAGCATATGTCTAAATGTTTAAAAAGCGCAATTGCGACAGAAATATCAGACGTGGTTAACACTTCTAGAACTGCATCTAGATCATTACAAACTTTTACTGCTGTCACTGATTGTGGAATATTACAGAAATAAAGCATAATTGTTGCTGGTAACAGAAAGTAGCCACGAGTTATCCAGTTGAGCTTTTTTTTTGGATCCGGGTAAATACCAAGAAGATACATAACTTTACGAGAAGGGCCAATCTCCGTATCAAAACCTTGGGTTGTAAGATATAAAAAATCAAGTTTACTCATGAAACAGATCGAAAATAAGTTTTACTTGTGTAAGTTTACGATATATGTAATTGTAAACATTTCTGAAAAATCTGAAAAATTATATTTTACCCTCAACCCAGCTCATTTAAGTATATTCAATGTAAGCAGCTGCACAACTGACTACTTTTACTTTTCCAATGTTCTCACCAACTACGATTGCTACATTAAGGATCTATAGAGCTCATTGTTAATGTATCACCATTTGAAACGTTTTAGCTCAGTCCTAGGTAGACATGACGCTCATTACAAAGTACTTTATTCATTTGAAAATTGGTTAATTTATAAAGTATCTCCAATCATTATATACACTGTTCTTCATTGAAATAATTATGCGGCTATCAACAATAATTAGTTGAAACATCTGCATTTATCATTATCACGTTTTTAATTTATAAACCTTTCGAAGTAGAGTGTAATATAAGAACATTATTCAGAAGCAATATACATATAGGCTAGTCAGTAGAATGAGCATAAATATAAAGTATTATAATGATATAAATAATCATGCTTAACTGGCTTTAATCCCGAGTAAAAAATAATAAATTTCTGTATCACTCAGTTTTGTTCAAATCTAAAGGAACAGGTACATCTCAGTTGGACTCAATTAAATTATTAGATGAATATAGTAAATAATAATTTATATGAGTTATCTAAATTAGTTTATTTTTTATGTAATCAACAAAAATTAATTTCGACACAATCAATAGCAAAACTAAATTATTCTAGTGATATTGAGAAGATTTAATAAAAAAATTTTCGCATGGTCTTTCAGAAATCATTAATTCTATTTTAATGCAACTGGATAAAGGTAAATAGTGATAAGATATAATCTAGGTTTAATTTTGTATAGGAATATGCAATTGTCTTTCGTCAGTTTCAAACAATTTATGAAGATATTCTTCAAATTATTATAAAAGTAAGACAAATTTAACAATTTTTCTTGAAAAAACATACATCAAGAGTAATTGTATTTGTACCTTCAAATTTTTTCTTTATCTACAATGTTTAATTCATAAAATCTGATAATTTAATCTTTATGGCAAGTAAACTTGACAAAAAACTTTCTGATCACTTTAATATTTGTAAATAAATGTTTTGCTTGATAATGGTTAATGCAAAATAAATCGCAAAAAAAGAATTTTCGAAATCATAATTTACATATTACATATATTAAGATTTTATACTGTTTTATGAAATGTTAACATGCTCCTGAATTTTCTGTATAAAAAATGATATAACATTTAGTGAGCTTAAGTTCAGCTAATATACCTCGGAAAACCATAAAAACTATAATATAATCTAAGTTATATTGAATTGATTGCATGCAATTATTTTACGAAGTATCTATTTAAAATTTTCTAAGACTAAGATAATCCGTGGTTGCACACATACGACATCAACGACTGAACAAACAAAACTTTAACAAAAATGTCGACAAAAAGTAAGAAGAGGATTTCATTTGTTATTACAAAAGGTATGAAAATTCGCTCGAATAAAAATCATCGGAACCAGTATACTCGTTTTTCACTCGAGTTTCGATTTTTTTACGATATCAAATTTTTGATATTATTTGAATTATGTCATAACAATAGTTACCAAGGAATATTAAAGTGAAAGACATTAAAAGCTTGTAACGGGGTATAACCGTTTAATTAATTAAATCGCGTAATTATATTCGAAAGGACACGCGTATCTATCAATGCTCAATACGAATTCGGGGAGCACGAGAAAGTATGCCTCAGTCAACCTGTAATCATTAATAACCTATTCGGAATTGAGTAGAAGCTATGAGAAATGAGAGAATTAACGAAAACACTTGTTAGTAAGCTAAATCAGATCTTTTATTGTTTCCTCAAAACTCACAAAAGGTCGGCCCGCGCGTTTGTTTACATACACGCTCGCTCATCGGCAACACGCTTTGCCGGTACGCTCGCTGCTCTTTGTCGCTAGAGCCGTTATATACACGCATCGAATGTTAGCATCGAGTTATTATTCATTCATGTAATTCCGAACGCGTAATTAAGCTGGCCAGCTTACCTTACTTATCTGCGACCGGAGAACACTATGACGGGTTGCACAGCACGGAACAGTTAATTGTATTGTTTTTGTTGCCGGTCGCGAACGCGCGCACGTTATGGTTTCGCCCTCGATGGCGAAACCTCATACACACACTCGTTCACTCGTCCTGGCCTCAGGTGATCGGACGTCTGGCTCCTGGATGGCGGTTATCACGGCTGTATCTGCTGTGGTCCTCTCGTCGATCTGATGTACGGTCAGCGAAGGCACGTGGATCAGCGGCGATACGATAGCGAAACGGGCGGACACAACAAAGGTTGATGCTTCACTCGTTCGAATCTTGTCGCGCGCGTTCCGTCTGCTCGCGTGCCGAATTCCTTCGTTACATGTTTTTGTCCCCCCTGGGAGGTGCTGCCCTCACGGACAACAATAAGGTTAAATGATTAGCGCTAACTTGACGATTACCGTCACAGCCCCCTTCCAGTCTGGACCTATAGGGTCCTTGACGATGATCCCGTTAGCGCCGTACTTTCCGAGGAGGAGGTGGGGAAGGATAATAAAGGATCATAGTTCGAGTAATGTCAAATCTATCTTTATTGGACGACAGGGCGATGTATCGGTGGTCCTGCCCACGGGGGCAGGACATCATCACCTAGCTGGCCTTGGTTGTATCTCCTGGCCCTGGTCGTCCAATGGAGGTCTGCCGCGTGCCTCCCACCCCAGTCTCTCCTGGACCAGGTCGGCGTGTTGCCGCACGCGCGGGCAGCGGTCCGTACGGGTCACCCCGGGGTAGTGGCACACGTTGCACCCCTCCCATTGAGCGCGGGAGAGGGTGCCCCGTGGGAGCCCTCGCTCACGGGGGGTCAGAGGCAACCCGTTCCTACGGTTCGGGGCGGACCACAATGGCCTTTCGACCGTGGAATCCGCACCCGAGGAGCCCAGGACCACATTAACCCATTAAAGCCCACGCTAAGACTGGTTGAGATAGCGACAAACAAACTGTGCTATCTTTTGCATAAGTGAAAAATAAAATATACGTATTTTTTTTTATGTTATTTTCAATTGTTTATAACAAATTATTTAAACAAATTACAAAAAAATTCATAATTATCAAAATCTAAATGCGGGAATCGATTCTGGAGGTGAAATCAAGACGAAAACCTATATAACACTTTTTTGTCAGAATTCAATTTGTTAGTGTAACGTAGGAATAAACAATTGCATGTTGGGGAGAAAAAGTGACCATGTCAAGTCCCAAGCAAAATCTATCTGGAATAGCAAAAAATAAACTGTGCTATCCTTTGCATAAGTGAAAAATAAAATATATATATTTTTTCTTATGTCATTTGCAATTGTTTATAACAAATTATTTAAACAAATTACAAAAAAATTCATAATTTTCAAAATCTGAATGCGGAAATCGATTCGGGGGATAAAATTGAGATGAAAACCTGTATAACACTTTTTTGTCAGAGTTCAATTTGATATCTTTATGTAGAAATAAACTATTGACAAATAAGTGTTTTCATTCTCACACATGGTATCTGGAATCATATCAGTATTTTTTACTGATAAATTTTGAGATCTTATACTGTAATTGGATAAGTTTATTTCATTTCGTAAATCCTTCCGTGTTAGAGATCACGTTTGAGTGGCGGGCTAACGGTTGAAAACATTTATACATTGGATCTATTCTTTGAAATAATAATTTCGGAAAACTTTTAGTTTTTATTTTGTTCTAAATTGGTAACGTTACTGATAATGCCGAGACAGAGAATTAGCGATCTACCAAATTTAGTTGAAGATTCTGATAGTGATGAAGGTCAACATATTGATATAGCATTCATTCCTAATGAATATGAAAGTTCAGATGGAGATTCGGACGGTGATCCAAATGAAGATACATTATCAAATGAATTACCATCAGGTTCTTACGAACATGTTAAAAGTACATACACAAGTACTCAGAAATTGTTGGAACCGAATCATAAGTACAGTTGGAAAAATGATGCTTTGAATGATATTTCTCCGCATGTCGAGAGCAACTTCAATATTTCACCTATTTCATCATTGCAATCCAAAAATGCTTTTGAGTTGTTTGAGGTTTTCTTTTCGAAATCAATGAAAAACCATATCATTGAAGCCACTTCTGAAAATCATTTTGATTTATGTATGGATGATCTAGAAAAATTTATTACAATCATAATGATTACTATCTTCAATTCTAGAAAAAGTATTCGTGATTACTGGTCAAAAAAGCGAATACTTCAGTGTCCAGTAATTGCGGAACTTATGTCTAGAAATAATTTCGTTGCCATAAAAAAGAACATACGATTCTATAAACTTCAAGAAACTGATCAAAATGATAAAGTCTGGAAGGTTAGAACTCTGTATGATATGTTTCGTGAGAATTGTATGCAATTTGGTTTCTTTGACTATAATTTATCAATAGATCAAAAGCTAAAAGAGGATACACTATTTCAATGCATGAAGTGAATTCAAAATTGAATTATATTACAGTTATGGACTCAAAACCAGTATCGATTCTCTCTTCGAAATATGGAAATGAACCAAAAGTTGAAATGCAGAGATGGCAGGAATCATCGAAAAAATCTATTCTTTTTCCTCATTGTTTCTCTATGTATAATGAACACATGGGTGGCGTCGATCTACATGATCAACACTGTAATGCTTTGATGCCTACAATTCGAAGTAAGAAATGGACATGGTGCCTTGTATTACGGCTCATCCAAGCATCCTTAGCAAACGCTACAGTGATTTACAATAAGTTACATCCAGACGAAAGAAAAGGTTCCAAAGATATTGTTCAAGAAGTTTGTGAATATTATATTGACAAGTTATCTTCCAAACGTCCCCCCAAACGACAGAAACAGAGTGAAACTTCATCCCAAGAACACGTGATGAAACATGGGAGTCTTAGGAAATGTGGAATTTCAACATGTCGGACAAGAACGGAATGGTATTGTGAGAAATGTTCTATGCCTGTTTGCAAAAGTCATAAAAAAGGACATGGCAATGAACAATAATTCAATCCCACCGATTATATTTACAATAATTCATGCCAATATTGATGGATAAATACAATAATTAGCTTCATTT